CTGTTACATACATTTCAACAAAATCATTATACCCTGATTTCCCATTTTCAATGGGTTCAAGATATCAAAAGGCACGCAAAATAAATATGCTCTTTTACATTTGAAATAACAATCTATAGCATTCAGCTTCGTTCCGTACAATCATTTTAAGTAAACATTTCTTTCTATTTTTAAATAAAGTCTTTTTATATACCATATATACACTGATATGCATGTCTACAGAGTCTAAAGAGAAAATCAAAAGTTGGTTAAATAAATATCTTGATCCGGTACTCTCTGCCTGTGAATTACGCGATCTCATATTCTTACTAAACTATAAATATAGATGCATGACGGTCTCTCTCTCGCTCTTTCTCTCATTGCTTTCTTACTCTGTGAGTATGACGTGTGCAAGATAATAATATTGAATTTTGGGATTTGTCATGCCAAGGCGCTCTCTTGTATGGAAATTGGGGCGTAGTTTGAAAAATGCCAATCAGTTCCACATAATTCCCTAACTTGTTAACTTAAAAATATAGTTGTCAGCAAGGAAGTTTTTCACAAAAGCTCAAAAATTAATTCGTAGTGTTATTCAGTACTAATTATTCCATATAAATAGCTTTCCTTTTCCACTTATTTGATTTCCAGAATGGGCAAACAGCTCTTAATATCGCTCATAACTTGGGCTACGTAACCGCCGTTGAGACACTTAAAATTGTAACGGAAAAATCCTTAATTAGTACCACAACCGGAATTCTTGAGGAAAAATACAAGGTTGTCGTACCAGAATTTATGCACGAAACGCTACTTTCTGATTCCGACGACGAAGGCGGAGACGAAGTGTTGGATCACAATCAATACAAATACATGGCGACCGACGAATTAAAAGCTACCAATGATCATGATAACCATAACTTTGACACAACTGATCCAGAGAACGATCAATTGGATGGACTAATCGGTCGAAATATTGAAAAAGGTTTTTCAAAAATAAGAGCATATTTATATTATTATTTTTATATTAATTAGTAAAAATGTTCTTTACAGAATTAACCAGAACAAATGAAACAATTTTAAATATATCTCCAATGCAACGACAGATCGATAATGTGGCTATAGTTCGGCCGCCAATTCATCTGGGGTATGTACACAGTGTCCATAGTAAATTATGTGTGTTTATACACTGCGCGTCATTAGGTTAGCGCCCCCCTTTACACTCAACCTCAAAGCTAAATAAAATCTAAACCATC